CATCCCTGGAAGTGTCCAAGGGCAGGTTGGATGGGGCTTGGAGCAACCTGGGCTGCTGGGAGGTGGCCCTGCCCATGGTGAGGTTGGATCTAGATGAGATTTAAGGTCCCTTCCCACCCAAACCGCTCCATGATCCTCATGTTTTTTCCTCTCAGGGTGGAGCCCACCCTGTGGCTGCTGCTGTGGCAGGTAAGAGGGGGATGATGGTGGGGCTGGGAGTGGGGAGGGCTGGATAGTGCTGGGTATCACCCCCACCCTGGCTCCTCCTGCCTATCCTGAGGCCCAGGAGAAGGGTTTGAAGCTGGAAGGGAGAATAGGAGGCTCTGGTGATCCAGCCATCACACCTCAGCGTTGAAAACAAAGTGCAGAGAGCAGGTTGGGTGTGTTGAACCCCTCGGAAAGACCCATTTTTTGTCTTTTTAACCCTTCTAACTAATTGATTGTCTCCTGTTTTCCTCAAGATCCTGTCCCTGCAGAGAAAAAAACAGATCCTGAGCAATTCCTAAAGCCATCTGACCCAGCTGATGGCAGCACTAAGAATGTGGCTCCCCTCACGACCACAGAAACTTCTGTCAGGAAAAGATCCTACGCAAGTCCCAGCCTGAAGAAAAAACCCCTCGGATCTAACCCTAAGAAGGTTTCTCCTTGGAAAAACAGCCCCGGGAAAGACCAGGCATTGAGTCCTTTCAAGGTTTCCCCCCGAGGGCTTCTCACCACTCCTCAATCCAAGCGCCGTCGCTCCTGGCGCCGCTCCAGCCTGAAGGGGACAAAGCGCCGAAAATCCCTCCCCCCTGTCCACCAAGATGCCACTGGTACGTGCTCCACTTGTGCCAAAATCCCTTCGGGAAGCTTGTAGGGCAGCTGGGATTTAATTTCATGGCACCACCTTGAGGGGGATGAGAGCAGAATCAGGTTATTCTGAAGTCAAACTGCTGATGTCCCATTTGTGGCAGCGGTCGTGGAGATCCAGGTGTTTCAGGGTGAAAGGAGATGCTGCACTAATTGCAGGGGACATTTTTTAGCTGGTAATGGTTTTCAAAGGAATGAAATCCGTTGATTAATTACCAATAACTTCATTTCTGTCTCTTAATGAGAGAAGATTGAGGGAGAGATCAGCCTAATGGGTGTGCTTGTACAATGAGCTTGGGGTAAAAGGTAATGAGAGAAGATTGAGGGAGAGATCAGCCTGATGGGTGTGCTTGAATAGTACAACGAGCTTGGGGTAAAAGGCTTTTCACTTGGGAGGCTTTTCTCCTTTATATTCCAAAGCAGAAGTTTAATAACGTATTAAAACATTTAAAAGAAGAGTTTTCATAATCCCAGTGTCCAACTTTGTAATCTTCTTTTTGTTGTACAACTGCAGGAAAAAAAGGAGTTGGTGAATATAGAAAAATACTGAGTTACTTCACTTTCACAGATAATGGAGCATCTTGCAAATACCTGGAAGCAGTTCAGTGCCAGCTGGGGGGAAACTGGAGAGATTTATTCTTACAATTCCTCCAAATTTAATATATTTTTCCCCAAACATGCTTTTTTTTGGTGATCAGACATGAAGGTGGGGACTCCCTGTGTCACACGGAGTCGCATGGAAAAGACAAGGGGTGACAGGTACAAATTCCTCCTGGGGAGATTCCAGTTCGGCTCCAGATGCAAAATTTTTCCCCATGGGAACAGTTTGGACGTTGTAATCATCTCCCAAGGGAAGGGGGTGGATTCCCCTACATTGGACAGTCTGGTTTTAAGTAGATTATTACCAAAAAGGTTGGACCAGATGATCCTGAAGGTCCCTTCCAGCCTGGAATTCCATGATTCTATAATTAATATCCTCTGTTCATTAGTATTTTGCAGCTCCTGCCACTTCATTGCCACGTTTCAACTTCAAACATGACTTTTCCTTGGGAGGAATTTCCTTCCTCCTCTTCCCTCCTCCTTCTGTGTCCTGCAGTCCAGTTGCAACATCAGCTTTGTCCTCCAGGACCTTCTCTTGCAGCTCAGTATGGATTTAATTGTTTAATTGTTTTAATTCTGATTTTTTTCAGAATTAAGCAAATCGATTAGTCTGGATCTGCCAGAGACAGACAGGTTGGCTCTTCTGCTCCTCTCCAGTTTCCAGGTGAGCTCTTCTAAAAGTCCTTTATTTCTCTCTTCTCTTTTAAATCAAACTCTTTTTCTCTTCCCTTTCAAAGTGAATTTATTTTTCTCTTCCTTTTAAAAGCAATTTCTTTTTCTCTTGCCTTTTAAAAATTAATGATCTTATCCCTTTTCAAGCAAATTCTTTTCCCTTTTAAGAGCAACTTCCTTTTCCCTTCCCTTTGGAAGTGAATTATTTTTCTTTTCAAGCAGATTATTTTTCATTTGCCTTTAAAAAGTGAATCATTTAATCCCTTTTAAAAGCAACTTATTTTTCTCTTCCCTTTTAAATGTTTATTATTTTTCTCTTGCCTTTTTAAAGTGAATTATTTCATCCCTTTTAAAATCCCTGGAAGGCTCCCAACATGGTTTTTATTCCCATTTTCTCCCAGTTTTCAGCACAGAAGCTGGAACACTCCCTACAGCAGAACCAGGGCTTCAACCTTGAGGAATTCCAGGCTAAAGGTGAGGTGGGAATGTCAGGAATGGGAATCCTGAGCCCCAAAATACCAACCCTGCTCCATAGCCCCTCCAGTTCCAAACATCTCCCCTCTCAAAGGGGCAGATGGAGCCAAAACCTGAGGAGTTGGGATGTTGGGACTGAGCAGGGATCCCAGAGGGAAGGCAGATGGACACAGGATTGGCCAGGGAAGCTGTGGCTGCCCCATCCCTGGCAGTGTCCAAGGGCAGGTTGGATGGGGCTTGGAGCAACCTGGGCTGCTGGGAGGTGTCCTCTAGGACCCCTAGGTCCCTCTTTGTGTCCTCCAGCCCCTTCCCCTCATGCTCCAGCCCCTTCTTCTCCACATCTCCATATTTTTGAACCCCTCCAGGGTTGATGACTCCACCACCACCCTAAGCAGCCTGTTCCAACCCTTGACAACCCTTTCCATGAAGGAGTTATTCCCAAGATCCAATCCAGATCCATCCCCTGGCACAACCTGAGGCCGTTTCCTTGTCCCAGTCCATGGGATTGATCCCAGTTTTCCTTCCAGCTCACTCGGTGTCGGAGGAGCTGAAGCTCCACCTGCAGAAGCTGAAGAGGGATGGGACCCTCCAACGCTGCATCCAGGACCCCCAGGGGTGAGGACTCCCCAGAACTGTCCCTTGGGGGACACACACACACACGTTTGAGCAGTGAATCCTTTTTTTTTGAGGGGAATTATCCCAAAATCCATCCTTTTCTCCATACCAGGAGCTCATCCCGTCAGCACCGACATTCCCAAACTCCCTTGTGTCAAAATGGGCCTCATTGCCATGTTTTAATTAGCTGTGAATTAATTAATAAGGGAACTGGTGAGGAAGGACAATCATGCAGCTTTCCCAGTATGTTTTTTTTCCCTATTTTTGAATCCCTCCAGGGTTGGTGACTCCACCACCACCCTAAGCAGCCTGTTCCAACCCTTGACAACCCCTTCCATGAAGGAGTTATTCCCAAGATCCAATTCAGATCCATCCCCTGGTACAACCTGAGGCCGTTTCCTTGTCCCAGTCTGTGGGATTGATCCCAGTTTTCCTTCCAGCTCATTCGGTGTCGGAGGAGCTGAAGCTCCACCTGCAGAAGCTGAAGAGGGATGGGACCCTCCAACGCTGCATCCAGGACCCCCAGGGGTGAGGTGTCATTCCAAGGATTTAGGAGGCAGCAAAACCCTGTGATATCCACATGGAATCTTGTAGGTCCCCCGATACCTGATGTTGAATTCCCGCTTTAGGGTCTCCCTGGATTCTTCTTTGGATGAGTCAGTGGCCCAAATTAAGGAGCACATGACCAGGTGAGACCAACCCTGAGACTCCCAGCATGGATCCAGGCTGGCAAACTTCTTCCCAGAGGGAATTTTGGGGTGGATTTAAGTCCATGGAGGGAAAATTCCAGCATGGATCTTCTCGCAGGTTCTCTGCTGAGTGTCGCTCCTGGGATCAGCTCCTTCAGAACTACCAGGAAAGTGCTGAAGAAATGTCCAGGTGGGGTTTTTTTCTTTGGAAAACCAAGGAAAAGGTCCTGTTGGCTCCTTCCTGAGGGGAGAATTCCCCATTTTTTTCCAGGCAGCTGGAAGGAATCCAGCGGGATCCCAGCCTAGTGGAGCCCCTCAGTTACCTCCAAACCTCCCAGGCCTCTGTTCTCAGCAGCAAACCCAACTACCAGCAGATCCTGGATTCCCAGGGGGAGGTCCTGACTTCCATGGAGCTGGTGGTGAGTTTCCCTCGCCCATTCCAGGGGAAAAATTCCCACGCGGGGAGCTGAAATTTGGGTCATTTTGGTGTCTTTTTGTCACCCATTTGCAGCTGAACGAGCTCCAGCAAGCAGTGCAGGTGCTGCAGACCTTCAGCGAGGACAGCCGGCAGTACCTCCGGGGCCTGTCGGAGCAGCTCGGTGAGGCTTTGGGGGGGTCGTTAACGGCGATTTGGGGTCATTAACGGCGCTTTTGGGGTCGTTAACGGGGTTTTTTTCCCCCCCCTTCCAGCCACCAGGACCTTCCAGCAGCTGGAGAA